TGTGTGTGTGTGTGTATGTGTGTGTGTGTCACAAGGAGGGACCAGTCCCTGGAGAAGGACATCACGCTTGGTAAAGCAGGAAGTCAGGGAAGAAGAGGAAGACCCTCAACTAGATCGGTTGATACAGCAGCTGCAACAATGGGTTCCAATGAGGACTGGGCAGTGTTTTGTTTTGTTTTCCATAAGGTTCCTATGAGTCATCCCTGACTCAATGACAGCTAACAACATTGATACTTTGATTTGCAGGTGCACTTAGAACAAGCAAACGTGAATGGGAGATGGCGGGGGCAGGGGGGTAAAGGGAGCAACATTTACAGAAGGAGGTAGGCAAGTAGGGTAAGGAGCATGAGGTTGGAAGAATTGCCAGAACCAGGGCGTAACTGAAAGGTGGGCATGGAAGGATAGAAACGATGAACATTGATAATGGAGAAACCAATAGAACAAGTCTTGACAATTATTACAGGCATGTGACCTACCTTTTATTCTTTCCAGTCACCCCTCATCAACTATAGAATGTAAACAAAACAACAACAACTCACTGCCATCATGTCAGATCTGACTCATCACAACCTTCTTGGGTTTCCAAGGTGGTATCACTACGGAAGTAGATTGCCCAACCTTCCTTCCGAGGACTGGCTGGTGGGTTTGTATCACCAGCTTTCAGGTTAGCAGTCAAAAATGCCTTAGGCTCTACAGCACCAGAGCTCCCCTGATAAATTCAACTTTTAAATATTTCATTTTAAAATTGTAGAAATGAAGGTCCTAAACTTTTACATAACTTGCTCAAGGTAAAATAGCTTAATTCCTAATAACACAGGGTTTAGAATAGTACAAATATGAATTCAAATATTTGTTCTCTCATCTGCCACTTTGGTGACCAGACAAATGACTTACCTCTTCTGAACCTCAGTCTCTGCACCTGTAAAACGGGACAACAGTAATGCCTATCTCAGAGTTATTGTGAAGAGTACAGCTTCTACTTCGATTGTATGTCCATCTGATTTTCAGATGCTGTGTTGCTTGGAAATAGCAAAATTAAGGGAAATCCACCAGAGAAAGGTCACAAAATTATCTCAATGTCTTGGAAAGATTTAGAAAAAAAAAAAAAAGTGCTGAAATAAAAGATGTCTGTTCTCTATGGTGAGCAGCTCTGGTAGTGTAGTGGGTTAGACATTTGGCTGCTAACCACAAGGTCAGTGGTTCAAGCCCACCAGTGCTCTGCAGGAGGAAGATGAGACAATCTACTACTTCTGTAAAGATTTACAGCCTTAAAAACCCACTGGGGATCACTGTAAGTTAGAATCAACTCCATGGCAGTGGGTTTCATTTTTTGTTTATCCTTATGGTCCCTCTTCTGACCTCTCTTGTGGACTTAAAATTTTATAACTGCCTGTGGACTTCTCTGTTTCTCCCACTAGTCTAAAGTCTCTGTGACAGCAGTAGTTGTGGCGGGAAATACTCTATCCTGGGTGGCTAGCACAGTGCTTGGTCAATGTTGGAGTACAAAAAATATGTGTTGAATGAGTGAATGCAGCTTGAATTAAAGCAGAATTATAAATATTTCTATGGGTTGTGTCTACTAAACCTTTAAGCATGAAAGGAGACTGAGTCAAGGAAAACTAGGACACAGACTGTATAGAGATCAAACAAAATTGAAAATGACCATGGACTGTACAACATCTGGGCATGTGATGGAGCAAGTAATAGGCAGCATTGGGAAGAACTAGCCCAAAGTATGATCTCAGTATCAAATCATAGTAGAGTCTCCTACCCTAGATGCTATAATGTCTTGATCAAGAGTGCATCCTTTGAAACGAGATAGGTTAAGTTTCAAATCTAAGTTCCTTTACTTAGTTGCTATGAAAACTAGCAGAGATAGTTTAGCTCCCAAGTCTCATTTTCCTCACCTGAAAATGGGGTTAATTTGAGGAAATTGAATGACATAGTATATGGAAAATACCTAGCAGAGTTTCTGAAACATTATAGTTGCTTAATAGATGATAGCTACTATGACTCTTAGTCTTAAAACAATCCATAGTGGACTTCAGAAACTCAGACATGGTAGGACAAGAAGGTACAGGAAAATAAGTAGATGAAAGTAGCTATTCTCAG